GTGAATCAGCGATTAGAAAACTTATAACTCGAATAAGAACTTACTCGAGCAAATGGACTCTTTCAAGACTCAACTAAGGTGAATAAGTAGTCAGTAATCGTAAAAGTGGCACCATGCATTGTAGTAATCTGAGTGAAAAAAAATTATGCTCTATCGGTTTCCTTAAGTTTTTTTCTATGTCTAAATTTTTTGTTCTTTAAGTTTCATCCACAATTTATAAAAGCTAAGATCTGTTCAAAACTAAGAAAATAGAGTGATTAAGACTTTTGTGTTACTTTATTTTTCATAAAATACTTTGATAGAAAATGACTCAATGTTAGGGATATGAAGTGTAGGAGAAAAAAATAAAGTTAAATAACCGTTTGGTTCCTTTTACGTGGCCATGCAGCGCTTAATGTGAATACTTTTTTTTATATTTGTATACGTTTTGCACAAATGTATATTGCATAGCTATATTTTTACTATACATTGTAAAAGAGGTTGGTAAGTGGAGTATGCATATGGACGAGACTCTACAATCATACGTTTTTGTCACTAAACCATGCACTTTTAAACAAGTATAAAATTTACTGGGATCTATGAGTAGTTGTAACAGCACTTTGGTCCGTCACGACAAACCCTTATTACCTAGATAGAAGCTTTCCATAATGATCAAAGACGAGGCATGTGGGGCAGGGAACACACCCCAACTACGGTTGGCTTCTCCTTTCAACTTTATGCGTGGAGAGAGAGCTCCCCTACTTTTTAGTTACTGAAAAGGTTAAAATTTTTCTCTAGCTTAGAATGGATATTCTTTTTATAATCATAAATTTTTTAATAGCAAGAGTCTAAAATACATTTTAATTCTTTCGTTTTTTAATATAACATCAAAATAAAATGTGATTTCTAAAGATGTGGGGTGAATTCTAGGAAAGTAACAAGGTAAATTTGTTTTCTAACTTATTTTCGAACTGAAAGCCTTTATAAGTGCAATTGTATGAAATGATGCAAAATTGTATATTAAATTGCACACATATTCTTTTGTTAAATATTCGCAGTTCATCCTATCTATGGACAAAACTTTTTCATGCACACTCTCTAAATCTACATCTTGCATATCTTTTACAATTTCCTTTACATTATTAGGTCTATAGTTTTCAATTTGCACTTCATACACATGACAACCTTTTTCTGAAATATAACCTATAAATTAGTTCACAACAGCAGGCATCAAATCCAACAAATCACTCAATACACCTATATAACAATCAATACATTTGATAATAATATTGATTGAATGTTGAAAAGTAACTTTTTTAGAAAAAAACTACGACAGTGTTGTTTCGTCCTTCTTCAAGCTTCATAGCTTTATCGTTATAACTTACAGTAAACTTCAAGGTTTAGTTAGAGCCAGAAACTTTGATGTCCTGCAAGTTGCTGTCGTCAGTGGTAAAATATTTCTCAATGTCTGTAAGCGCCAATTTGAATTTGTTCCAACCCAAAATTTTAAAAAAAATTCTTTTGAAGTCTGTGCCTCATAGACAAACTACAGGTTCCCCATCAATGTCAAGTAATTTCTCATATTTTGGACCAACGAAGGCTTTCTTTCGAATCATTATTTTAGCCCATAAAGCTTGAAAAAAAACCTGTGAAGGTGACTGCTGATACTGCTTTACGCTTAAGAGATCGATTGCTACGAAACCCCTAACCCTTTTTTTTGGAACTCCATTTTTCTGTTTCATTGTATTAACAGTACGACGATCAGTTAGGGACTAACAAATAATCCGACTTTTTTATACTCGTCGTAGCTTGAAAAAGACGGGGTAAAAGACGTTTGGAGGTGGTAAATCACGTATAGCATACAAAGTGGCGTCGATAACATGTCCAAAACAACGTTATTTGAAACAAGTATGATCGTGTATCACGTGCAGATAAAAACACTGAGTTTGAAATTTTTTACGAACTATAAACATTCAGAGGAAGGATTGTGAAACGCTAACATTGCTTCTATTTTAAATTTATAATAATATAACATCAGTATCTGCCACTAGTTGTTTAAAAATGCGCAGCCTGCAAGTTAAGAATATATTTATGGATACACTTATATCAAAGACATTTTTCTGCAATTTTTTCATTGACATTCAACCAGACAACCGCAACCACCCAACACGAAGCTTCTCAAACTTTTTTTGTTACACCTTAATGAAATGAAACGGCTGAAAATTTTGTCCTTCATTTTTAAATCAGCGAAAAAATTGTCGAGAAATTTTTGAAAACCCTAACCGTCGCTTATGCAAAAACAAAAACATAACTGACCACATACGTTTGAAGATAAGCTTTGTAACTGTTTGACATTCCAACGCAGTTTCTTACAATTTTTACGAAATCGATTAATGTGCTGCGGTGCATAAGGTTGAATACCATAGCTATCAAAATACAAACCATTGGAGTGTGCATCAGCGTATATATCAACAGAGATTTGCTAAAAGCTTTTCTTCTTCAATGCGAGTGCAAATCAAGTTTAAAGTGTTTATGAGACAAAATGCATCGTGAGAAATCACTAATCACATTTTTGCCTTGACGCCATTGATAAGTAATTTTTGTGATTGCATACATCAAAATAAAGATGACCAACCAGATCAATCTATTTCTTTGATGGTAGTAATGTACGTCGCTTGATGAGTCCCACTTTAACATCTCACACATCATTCATCTTTGTCGCGGTATCAACGTATCATAATGCATTCGTTAAATGGGATGATTTTGCCGCAGGTCCGTTATTTAATAAAGTTTTAAAGTATGCTCTGTAATCGTACGCGTTGTTAGTAGGTGATACAGGTTTTTGATTAGAAAACACATTAACTTAGTTCAACAACGATTGCATAAAATTATTTATCGGGCCTGCTTTTGTAATTTTAGATGCTTGTGACGTGGCAAAATTTGCTTCTCAATTTTGTTTGACACGCCACAGTCGACGCCCCTGCTCTGAAGTAAAATAATCATGCTGATGTATATCCGTAATCTTTTCCATGTGCTCTGTTGTAGCGAATTTTTCCCAAGGAGAAGAAAGGACGAGACGCGAAGGGCCAATGGGTCAAGGTAGTATGAAGAGTGCGTATGGAGATTTTTGTAAGTGCCACGGTGGCGACACGAATGAGAGAGATCGGCAGACAAGGTAGGAGCAGGGTAGATGGGTCAAAAGATAGTTAGTTGACCTACCGAGCGACGAGGTGGTGACTGACGCGATTGATGAACTCAGTGGGTGTGAGACCACCGAGTGCGAAGTTTAGGAGAGAACATGGTGCCAGAGAGCAGAGACTAAGCGAATATTAAGTACGAGGGAGAGAGAGAGGGCGAGTGAGAGCGTAAGTGGGAAGAAAAACCCGGAAAAATAAGCCTGATCTTATCCCATCCGACCCTCAACGGCAGCCATCCTGCAGATGAGGCGTCTTCCCGTGACAACCCTAGCAAAGCCCGAGGAGAGAGGTGTACGGGACAGCAGGCGAGAGAGGCCCAGGTATCACGCAGCGTCAACTTCCCGGACTGCAACCCTCGACGCTCATGGTGGACTTCTCTTACAGTGAGGAAGTACGGGATACGCCATGGTACAGTGCGTAGGTTACGAGAAGACACGAGTGTAATTGTCGGCCACAGCGATACACGCGAGAGCAGGAGCGGAAGGATCGGGGCATAGGGCAGTGATTTTTGCGTACCACGTTTGGGCCTCTGTCGAGACGTAAGGACGGACGCGTTGGGCAAAGTGTATGAAGGAAGGAAGGGTACCGAGAGAGAGAGAGAGAGAGAGAGAGAGAGAGAGAGAGAGAGAGAGAGAGAGAGAGAGAGAGAGAGAGAGGGTGTGCATGGGCGTGAGAATAAAGAAGAGGAGTACAGGACACGGGTACAGGCGGGGGCAAAGACGGGAAGCAAACACTGGGGGCACCTCTTGGGCGACGTCACCGTGACCTTTACGGGCCACGATGGTGACCCACTCTGTGGGCTAGAGATCCGCCAAGTGTGTGTGTATGTGTGTGTGTGTGTGTGTGTGTGTATGTACAGCCAGCCACGTTGAGTCGTGTGGAAAAGGAAGAGAGTGTAAGAGTGCGTATGTGTGGGTGTGCGTAAGCAAACATCGAGTCTCTCTGAGCACACCACTGGCATCGTGGTTGCGATCAAGGGATTACGAAAGTGTAATTGGGACCAAAAAGAGGTGTTTAAGTTATTTTAATAAGTACGTAAAGTGAAGTCAAAGTCACTCTATGTTGTTCATTTGACCCAGATGCGAATCTCTTTTTCAGATAGATCCAGTGAAGGGAGAGTCGAGAGCATGAATCATCGAGTAGAGACATACAAGAGTGAATTATCATAGTATTTCCTCTCCAATGGTAAGTCACTGTGGGGATAAAGAATTACTAGTTATATGCTACTTCACTGTTTTCTTCTTCATTATTATTGACAGCTAACTTAACACAAACACTGAGCATTGTGTGTGTGAGATCAATATATTTGTCAGAATTACCTGATATGATAAATTCGATCGGTGAATCATTTGTAAGTGATGATATCCGCTTGTATTAAATTCAGTGCCATTCGTTGATAGCTGTTTAAGGCAGTGGAGTATCAAACAGAAGAAGCTCAGACTTTAAGCACTCGCACGAGTGACTGTGTAAAAAAGGCTTTTTTATAAACTTAACTTTCAAAATTATCTGTTGCAGTTCTCTGTCTCGTCTTTTTTTTAAAATTTGATTGTTCTCTATTTCTTCTTTCCATCTTTTTTGCGCGTTTTCTTAATTTGTTTCTATTTACTCTTACGCTGATTACGCTTTGACTTCACACTTATACGAAGTAGTTGCAACTAAAATAGTTCGTCACGTCATCTAATTTTACATCCTAAATCTTCCATAAGCTTGTCCAATTTTTCCTCTTCTTTTCACTTTATTAATCACCAGACTCCATCACAAGAGGGCAAAATGTCTCTTTAAAAGGTATATTTCTAGTGGTGACGTCAGACATAATGTTCATACCTGCTCGAACAGCTTTTTTGCCAATAGCTTTAGCACCTTACGTAATGAGAGCCAAAACTTGTCGAAATACTCCTGCAAAAAATAATTCGATACCTCCGTATTCTTCTTGACAGAGGGCTCTAATGTAAATGTGTCTAACACCTCCTTCACCGTTTCTATGAACTGTGGTCTAACTTTCACCATCACCACTTTGTGCGATAAAGGAGTTCTTGTAGAAATCCATAATTTTATTTGGTTCGTTCAAAGTAAAGTGTTACCATTAGCATTCCAAAGTTATTGACATGGAGACGCCAATCGGGTCCCTTATGTCGATTTCAGTGTTGTAAATAAGTTCATTAATATTGGTATATGAGGAAGTCCAATCCAAATTTGCCTTTACGCATCCTAAAAAGAAATTGAATTTTTTTTCAAGGCACACCTTTGAAAAACAATTTTTCTTGTTCTATGTACCCTCAATAACAAGAAAAAAATCTTGTTCTTAAACTTTAGGCTTTGTCACACGGTTTGTCATGGCACAGAAGATTAGAATAATTATTTGATGGAAAACTTTGTGTGAGCAAGGACTTTTACTGCTTTATTAAACCAGCTTCTCGTTTTCATTCTGTACAACATTAAGTGTCTTTTTTGTAAGAAATTTGTCTTTACTATAAGAAATTACTATGAAATTTAATGTTTATAGTTTATCATCTTACATCACCTGTGAGGATACCGTGTTAATCGCTTACAAATATAGTTTCATTATTGAAAAAAATATTTTTGTCCAACAAAAGTGTCGACTTTAATTGTAGATAAATAAATGTTGAGCTAATTAGCGTATCTTACGATTTTTTAATAATTTTTTATTTTAAGACAAGAAAAACTCTTCTTTTGTTTTACATGTAGTTTGCTGTTATTATTTACGAATTGTTTATACACATACGGATGAATATATGTTTCAATAATTAAAAAGTAGTCAAACTTTAACGTCTGTGAGTGGTAGGTAAGTAATGAACGACATGCATTAATGCACCAACGATCATGCCTGCACAAAGAAAAAAAAAAAAAATCGATTGTATGATATTTTCAATGCAATAATAATTTACAAACTTTTTTTTTTTTAAATTTTTTCTAACAGATGAATTCAAAAACTGTTCAGCAGTCGTAAAAACGCTAATTTGTTTATAATATTTGCTAAGAGCATCGTATCAAAATTGATCTTTTTTTAAATACGTAGAAAACTATTTCCTGATGTAAGAAATTAATTGCGTTTTACTATACCTAAAATTAACGAAGTTGTAAGCATTTGTTTACTTGCAGAATTTTTTGTTGAAAAAAGGACTTAAAATTAAAAAAAAAGTTTTCTTTTAATATCATTGACGTTCTTTATATTTTTGGTAAAATGCAGTAGGAATTTTGGGTCTTACTTATTCTTATGCTTTAAGTGAGCTTATAAATTTTTAAATTAACAACTTAATTGTGATGTCATTTATTATAATAAATAAAAAGCT